TCCAAAGCATCCTTTTCCCCCTCTGGGGACCAAGGTTCATGTAAACCTCAGAGACGAAAGGGCAGCTTGGGACAGAGACAGTTTCAGTGTCTCTCTCTCCTACAAGGAGCTAAATCCTCCTTAGTCAGGTGTCTCACTGGTGTTGACAGATCTGGACGTCCATGCAAGAGAAGGCTAGGATTTGAACCAAAGGGAGCCTCAGGCAGTGATGAATTCAGTGGCTCTCAATTTTCCCACAGTGTAGACAAAATAAGTGTCGAATTTGATGGGCTCAGGGAGGGTGGGGCTGCCAAGTTCCAGCTGTGCCTTCAGCAGCTGTGCTCTAGGGATTCAGGAGATGCCACATGGTGGATTTTCAATTTTAGAGAGTTAACCGGTGTGAAGGTTGTTCAGTCTGTGAGACCGAGCTTTGTTCACAACAAGAAATCTGTGGAAACAACCTGTGCTGAGTTCCTGGTGCTGCTGCTTATCCGAGGTCTGACTTGGAGCAAGTCACTCAAGGCTCTGAGTCTCCATCCTCTTCCTACAATGTGGAGCAATAGTGCTGTGAAATGAAATGAGATGAGATAGTAAACCCATAGCTCAGTGACTCAAATGTCTGATGTTTTTTTAGGTGCTCAGTGAAATGCAGAGCTCTTGTCTCAGAACGAATAGGGTGGAAAAAATCCCCCATCCTAGCCATCCTGCAGTCTCCCACTCTGGTTTTACCATCACGTGGGCCCTGAGACACACAGCCCCTGGCTCTGCAAGGGTCTGCTTCCAGGCTCCAGGGGGCAGGTCATTTAATGGCAAGTTCTCCCTGTTGATCTCACCAATGCCAGGACTCTGTCCCATCCCAATCCTACACAGCACTTTTCTGTAACTCTCTGCTGACACTACTTTCTGCCTTCTTCATGCCAAGTATCATATCCCTGCAATGTCCAAGTCCCCTGAGGAGACTTGTGTTTGAAATACCAATATGGTATCTTAGACACAGTAGTAAATCAATAAGTATATATTCATGTGTGTGTACGTATGTATGTACCTGCATGTACGGATGAGTAACAGAATCCACAATTATCATTTATTAATGTCAGTAAATCCCTATGAATTGAATATGAGTATCAATAAGTGAACGTATTGCTAAGACTGTGCCTCTTGTAGTTTTTAAATATCCTTGGGGAGCCAACAATATCATCCTTTGCTATCAAGTTTGATTGACTTACTGAAAAAAAATTCGATAAAATTATAATTGGTACTGACCAAGCCATAGACAGGAGGACCTCAGTTAATTCACCCATCCTTCACTGTGGAGGCATTATTAGTCCTATTTGGGTGGAATGCAAGTATCAAAAGGGGAAACTTTTTTGTACAGGAGGAGGAAACAGCTTCAGGGAAAGCAGTGCTGGGAGTTAGGTTGGAAACACTACACAGGTCAACCAGACCACAGGAAAAGGGGAGGGAAAAGCAAGGAGAGGACATACTGGTTTGGTTTTCATCCCCTTAACCACAAAAGGAAGGGCAGCCAAGAACATAAAGGGAATCTGACCAACCTCGGTCAAAGGTCACACCTGAGTCAAAGGTCTCACTTTCAGCTGCCCTACACAGGGCTCTTCTGGCTGCTGTGGCAATGGGCCCTCCCCTTATGGAAATGGCCTTATAATGAGAAAAGTCACGTGCAAATAACCAAAGCAGCTAACAGAGGTGGTGCCCCATGTGGTCTAATTAATGAGATCTGTGTGAAGGTCTGGGGAAAGTATGAAAAATGTTTGTACCCCAGGAAAAGAATGATGTCCACAGGGGGGAGAAAATAGCACGTTAGGTTGAATCCTGATTTTCACTATAAATTTCCTTCTTGAGTTGATAGAAACAGAAGCAGTTAAATATTGAGAATTTCACAGAGTTCAACCTAACACATAAACTTGAGCTTCAGCTCTAGAGTAACAGATGCTGAGTTCTGGATTGTACAAATTATGACCCGTGAAGTCTTGTCATCCTGTCAAATAGCAAGTGCTGTAGAACTTTCAGCTATTTTTAAAATTCTTATTATGATAGACTTGTTTTTCTCTATGACTCTGGTGAAGGTATTAGAAAGAATCATGGATTCGCATGTCCACATTTTCTCAAAGACATCACTGCTGTAAACAAACCCCAGAAACCAGAAAATAGAAGGTGCTCACCAGGGCTGGCTTCATGAATGTGGGGCCAGTATAGTCATACAGGGCTGTGTTCCCAGAAAGGCCCATGCTTGAGGATTAGTGGTCTTTGGGTGCCATCTTGAAGTTCTTAACAGTCTTATCATTGAATTTGTGTTTTGAAAGTGCATTCCAATGGGACAAAGAACCATGTACTAGAGGTTGGCAATCCTCTCTTACATGGGTCTTGGTTGCCTTCTGCCTAGCCCTTGTCCAGGAACAGCTGCTGCCTTGGGACAGACTCAGAGAGGGATGGGTTTGGGCAGCTGTGCACTGAAACATAGAGCAGGGTCCAGTCTGGGCAACTGTGAAGGTCACTATTCACCCCTTGAGTATCCCTGTGTCCAAAGGGGCACAGAATTAAATTGCAAATAAGCAACACTATGAGAGGTTGACAGAAAGATCATGGAGGAAAGGAAGAAAGCTTTTTGAACAAGAGGTGCCGTATTTTCATTTTTCACTGGGCCCTACAAATGATGTTGCCAGCCCTCAGGCTCAGCCTTTGGGCACCATGTGCAAAGGGTAAGAGCAATTCCTCTTCATGTGCTTAGAGACACTCCAAAGGTGGGCTCATGGAGAGGGAAAAGCAGAGTGTGCTGGTAAGTCTGCACTCAGTGTTTGCCTTTGATATATTTAGTAGATCAACATACATATTATGTTTCAGATAATGGATAACTACTCATCTTTTGGGGGGACTGGATAGTGTTCCTTATAAAGAGGAAACACCTGAAACCATGGTTTGAAATATGACTGAACATTTAGACTTTGGATTCCATCCTTGTAATCTAGTTTTGCCTTGGTTTATAACTCCATTAACACAGATGTCAGGAGAGATTTCCATGGGTAGACATTTTGTGGTTTGTTTTGCATTTAATATCAATCATTATAATCCAATATTGTGTTATGTGTTAGATTCCAATCTTCTTTTAACATGCCATTTTTCCTTCAACCTTCCATCATCCCTATGTGACAGGGAAGAATAACCTTGGTATTGTCTGTTTTACATGTACACACACACACTACAGCATACAGAATATAATATTGTTTTATTTATACTTTATCAATGGATACTTACAGTTGAAGTATTCTAATCAGGAATACACACTCCAGAGGTAGTTAGTATTTTAATGAATTTAATCAGAATCTCACATTCTAGGGGAAGTTATTACAAACCTTCAGTTACCTATAGAACATTTGCTGATTAGAATGAATGATGTTAGAAATGATCTTTTTCCACTGGTGAAGTGAGTGGTATTCCATTATGTAGACTGACTAGAAATAATTTTACAGAAACAACCTTCCTTTCTTGTATGTGTTATGTGGCTAAGGTCCCAGTCGGTCTATAACTATTGAAGTGGTACCTTTGCAAAGGACTCCATCAAATCCTGCATCCTGGTCCCCTTAGGACATGATTTCTTGTTCTTTTTAGATTGGAGAAATAAACATATTTTATATCATGACCTACTACCACTATCACACACACACATACACACGCACACACATACACACACACATACATATTGAAAGGAAAAGTTTCCAGAGAAAGCACTTCTTATCCTCATTTTCATTTCATGTAATGCATTCTATTATTTTTCTATTCTATTCAAGTCTACTATATTTTGTTTTGTTCATTGATTGTTGCAATCCACTCAATTTATTTCAGAACACCCTAGTGGGATGGAAACAGTAGTTTGAAAAACTCTAGCCTAAACAGCTAGCTTAATCCTGCTGCTAGAATATTGTTGCATATTCTATGAATGAGCCTTTCCAGCAAGGTACTCGTTAAAGAGCCTGACACAGCCAGGAACGGGGGATTCATTGAGGTACAGGATAGATGACACACATGTTTTCGTGTGAGGGTCCAGAATTTGGTCTGGGACTTGCTTTCATTGTAACATACAACCAGGTAGTGAAGAGGTGGGAGAGAAGACCCCCAGCTCTCACCTGTGCCCAACCACTGGATGTTACCAAAGCTGCCAAAAAGATCCCAATAATGGTGAAAAACCACATTGGCTTAGTTCAATTTGCAAGCATTTTTTTAAAAAATGAAACATTATCAGGCATTGTAATGGGTTGAATGGTGGCACCCCAAAAGATAGGTCTACCCAGAACCTGTGAGTGCAACCTTATTTGGAAAAAGGGTCTTTGCAAATGTTAGTAAGTTGAGGATCTTGAGATGAGATCATCCCAACTTATCCAGGTGAGCCCTAAATCCAATGATGTATCCTTACAAGAGAAAGACAGAGGGAGATTTCAGACAGAGGAGGAGAGGAGAAGGCCCTGTGAACACAAAAGCAGATCTTGGAGTGATGCAGCCACAAGCCAAGGAATGCCTGGAGCCACCAGAAGCTTTAAGAGGCAAAGAAGAGATTCTCCCTAGAGCCTTCAGGGGAAATATGGCCCTATGGACACTTTGATTTCAGACCTCGGACTTTCAGAAATGTGAGAGAATAAATTTCCATTGCTTTAAGCCACCAGGTGTGTGGTAATTTGTTAGAGCAGCCCTAGGAAACCAATACAGACATTAAATAGAAAAAGATCACAGACCTCTCTTTGATAATCCTGCCAGTCACTCAGCCAGAACAAGAATGACCACACCCTGAACCAAGAACCAGAGATCTGTTATGTACTTTTTTTTTTCCAGCTTATTTAGAATTGGCTTTCAGGAAAATACTGAATTTTGTTTAATTCAAAATATTTCAAAACATCACTCACCATCTCTAATTTGAATGCCAAATTAGAAACTTATTTCAGAAATTGTGATGGGCATGATTACTGCACACAAACAGAGTGCACAAACTTTTAGAAAAGGAATAAGCAGGGAGTTCCCTGGTGGTCTAGTGGTTAGGATTCAGTGCTTTTACTGCTGTGGCCTGGGTTCAATCCCTGGTCAGGGAACTGAGATCCTGCAAGCTGTGTGGCGTGGCCAAAATATTTTTTAAAAAAAGGAATAAGCAGATGCCTATGACCTCCGCATCCCTTCTAAGAGACTTTATTTTCTTAAGCTATGGTGACCCTGGTTGGGCATTGCAGGAAGATAGGAAAACCATTCCTATGTTAGTAAGGAAAAAGAGGCAGCCTATACATCCGGGCATAGGATTTCAGATGTGGTCCTATGATAAGAAAGGTAACATCCTATTTCAAACAGCATGAAAAATAGAAGAGAAAAAATAAATTGTGGACCACATATTTACTTGAGAACAACAGAGTAAATCAGAAAATCAGAGACCCTGATATAGATCTTGTTCACTTTTTAAAATCAGTTTATCTCCAATAATACTCCCAGAAAATAAGAATTTAGAAAAGAATTTTTTGAGGCAATTGTTTCACTCCCACAGACCACTTAAACAGAGCAAGCTTCTTTGTTTTAGCTTCAAGCATGATGCAACACAGGTGTATGTTTCACGACCAAATGACGATGGAAGCATAGATCATTGTATTTATCTTCGACAGTTACTATGAGAGGATAATTTGATCATTTCTACCAAATCATTAAATCAGAAAGGTAGCAAAATTTCCTGTAAATTGTGTATGCAAATTGCCTTTGATAGCACCAACATGCAATTGCTTCTGGAATCTAATAAAGCAAACGTTTTAGGTCTGCCCAGCAGCATTTACTTATCAGGCCAACATGAAACATAAAAATGATGTTTGGGAAGAACTTACATCACATAAGAGTCATTACAATATGATAGTATTATGGTGACCTTTTTGTTAAATGCTGTGGACATTTTTTGAGACAATTTTATTCTTTCTTAAATATTCTTTTAACTTTTTTAGACAATGTAATTTACTATTAGGGTTTAAAATTAGTATGAGCTAACATTACTCCATTTTAGTAACCCAAATGGAAAAATAAACTTTCCCCATTACAAGAACTTGTACAAGTCCTGGGGACAGGCTCAGACTGGGCTGGCTTGAGTCACATGATCATCTCTGGAATCACATGACCAATCACTGCAGTGGCTGCTGGGGGGCAGGGTTCTCTGACTAGCTGCTCTCTCCAGGCCCACGTGGTTGGAGTGGGCAAGGACGGGTTCTCCCTAGCAAGGGCAGCTGTGATGTTACCAAAAGGAGTAAGGGACAGAGCTCCTGGACAGGGCTTTCTCTGAGGTGTTACAAATTGGCTCTCTCCCTTCCTGTTCCATCTCCCAGGTTATCCCGAATAGGGGAGCATCCCTTTCCCTTTTGATCTTGCCATTCTCATCCTGAATTACACACCTATTCTGACTAATTCACCCATTCAAGCTCAGTTGGGAAAGTTTAAACTTCTTCCCCTTGCAAGGAATCTTTCTTTTATTCAAACACGCTTCCTACCCATGAGAAACAAAACATTATTCAATTACAAACCATCTTCTAAGCATTTATCATATGCACACATGAGTTCATTTAGTTCAATAAGTTCTGGGTTACTGTTCCAAATTTAAAACTAGTAAATGGAGATACAGAAAGGTTATGTAAGTCATGCAAAATCACATAGCTCATGAATGGCTGGACCAGGATGTGAATTTGAGCCAGATTCCAAGCCAGGATCTTGAAAAGGGAAGGCCTAATGCTGCCACACACTAGCTGTGTTATCTTCAGTAAATCATCTCCACCTGAACCATAATTTTAATCATCTATGAGGTCAGAATATTTATAAATCCTGTCCGGCCTATTCCATGGGTTCTTGGAAGGTTCTATGAGATGACATATGGGAATGAATTTTGCACATAATAAGTCACAGGTGCACACACATGATGTTTCTTTCATAGATCGAACCTCTAGGAAACTGTCTAGAGGGGGTGGAGGCATATCTAGTAAGATTTGGGGAATAGGAACCTCAGCGGATTTGAATACTGGGTGGAGGGACATAAAGTGATGAAGCGAATATACTGAGGCTCCAGCTGTGGGTTGGCAAGAGGCCAGGCAGGGTCCAAGTAAGTGGGAATGCCCAAATGTGCTGATTTTCCCATGACCGAGGGATTTCCTGGGACACAGGACTTTCCGTGCTAAAACTGGGCAAATCCTGAGCAAACTAAGATGAGTTGGTTGCCCTAGTTAAGATGAAAATCATTGGTCATCTTAATAGCAGTAAAAGGCATCCTCGTGAGGAAATGACTTGTGAACTGGCTATTTAAAAGCAGGGTGGAAAGTAACCCCACGGTGACTGGGTTTTGTGGAAGCGGCAGCCAGATTGTTTCAAAGGTGCCATCTCTCCAGCCCCTTAGAAAAGTGGAAGCAAACAATGCGTTTCCTGAAGTAAGGAAAGATTGATGAACCATTCTGGTAGGATGGTAGCAATTCTTCCCCAAACTCATAGCACTCTGGAAGTGAACTCTTCCCTTCCCCTAGGTTAGCAGGCACATAGTCTCCCACTCTGGGCCATAACACCCAGTCTCCTCTGGGGAGGAAGGGACAGCTCTGCTAGGAGTTAGGAGCCAAGAATGCAGGCATTTCACACCTTCATGCAGCCTTGCTTTCCAATGATGCCTCTTTGCCTAATTCCCTCTTCCCTTCAAAGGCTCTCTTTCCAGAATGTTCCTCTATCCTCTTGACTTGTGACTTGTAGCTGTCTTCACTTGTGTCTGTATATCCAGACAGGACTGAATGCCTGAAGGAGACCTGGCTTTGGAAACCTGGGATTCCTGCCCCACTCCACAAAAAGAACATTCCTTTTGGAAAACTCTTCAATCTTGTCATGTTCCAGTATCTTGTCACTTCTCAGTGCTCCATTTGAGATGTGCAATGACTCGGCCAAATATCATCTCTATGTCCCTTTAAACAAGTAGTTACTTCATATCCCTTTCTCACTTCCCTGTCAGTAAAGTGAGGTTGATAATTATGTTACCAAATGTAATTGGTGGTGGGAGGATTAAATAATTTCACACATGTGAAGTGCCTAGAACAGTGTCTGGATGCTAGTAGGTGCTCGATAAGTATTAGTGCTTTTTGTTTTTATCCAACCTACCTGCTTGTTGCATTAGCATTGCATTCTCATCACTTTCTGTAGAAAATGAGGTGTAAAGTTTCCCTTCCTTAGTGTAGCAGAAAGAGCATATGCTTTGGAAGTGTGTGATTATCTCCAATATTATACAACTCCCATACATTTTGATTTCCTAGTTTGCTAAACTGAACTAGGAGTCAACTAAGGTGGGTTCAAAGAGATAACACATGACCACTCATGAAACCAAGCAGGACCCTGGGGGGCTCCTGGGCATGGAAGCCTTTCTGTCCCCTGTTTCTTGACTGCAGCCTCTGTGACCTTCCCTGAGTTCCAAAGGGCAGATTCAGAACAGTTGCTAATCCGGGAAGGGAAGGGATACAAAGACAAGGGAGGGGCAGCCAGGAAACAATAGTACAGCCTTGGGGCAGGGTCCTGGTTCCACCTCAAGGAATACACATAACAATGTCTTTAAGCCCTTTAAGATGTCAGCATTCTTCATACTAGACAAAGACCCCCTGAGGCTACATTAAAGGAATCAGAGTGGCTCATCAAGATTACCTGAGACCAGATTAGAGGAGTGCAGGCCCTGAACACACCCTAAGCTTATCGGCAGCCCCGCCCTTGAACCATTGCTCTAAAACTTCTAATCAAATCCTCCCAGGTTGGGACACATAGTTTTTCCAGGCAGGAGCCCACTGTGTCCCCCTTTGCCTGGCAAAGCAATAAAACGATTCTTTTCTACTTCACCCAGAACTCTGTCTCTGAGACTTGATTCAGCACCAGTGTACAGAGGCCGAGCTTTCAGCATCACTCCCTCCTGTGGGACGCCCCCCACATAGCTTACACTCTATATACAGTATAGGGTGGAACCCTCGGACTGATTTTACGTTATGTCACTAGACTGTAAGCCTCTTGAAAAAAGGTCATGTTGATTTTAATCTTCTTTCCAGGGCTTAACTCAGTATCGGTATAAAAGGAGAATCAATGGATGTCTACTGAAGTGATGGTACCTGGATTGTATTTGGTGATCTATGAATTATGGTTTTCTTTCTAAGGTTATAGAGCCAGTTAGTAAAATGGAGGGTGCCTGTTCTGACATTTTGTTCCTTAAATCTATTAGTAAATTTGCCTTACAAGGAAGGATATTGAGAAAATAGCTATAAAATATCTTTAGTTCATGAGCAAAAATAGGACTTAGAGACTACGTTACATAGTTGAACTACATTTCTATTTTCAAAATTAAGCCTGTTGTAGAACATCTGTTTATTTCATCTTCAGTTTTAATACATTTTAGACAAGGTGGAAACTTTCAGGACACAGTCATCAATATTTCTGAGCAAGAATCCTGGCTCCTTTGTAATTAAATTGCCCTTTCCTGCTAATTTGTGTGCGTCCATATAATATCCCTTCCCTCAAATTAAAAACATCACTCACTGACGATGCTTAAAATTTGAAACAAAGGTAGAGAAGTGCAAAGGGACAGGGCATAGAAGCAATCAAACTGGATATTTCTCCTGAGTTAAGGTATTTTTATTCCTTTACATCTTGTCAAGTGGTTACTTTTGTGGCGAAAGCAGCTGTACTATGGGAACATATTTGATGGGTAACAGGTTTTATATTCACAGATGTCAATGATGAAGCTTGGAAACATTTTTTATAAATGGAAAAGAAGCGTGAACAATCATTTTTTCTCATCACAAGTTTGTAGTCTAAACCTGTTTTCATCTCGGATAAAACTGACTTTCTACAGCAACTTAGTATAGATGTGAAAAAATCCTTGGACTATTACTGTATATTCTGTTGACATGGAACTAGAAGAAGAAACTGAGTCAACTAGAACATAGTTCTGTTTCTGCAACATGTACTGTAAGGTCTTCTCATACAATTTTAGAAATTCAAACACCCAACTCCAAAATAATGAAATGATGGATCACATTCCAAACTTGAGAGAGGCTATGTTAGGAAGTGGAAA